TTCCTCCAGTAAACCATGACTAGGGGAGAAAAAAAAATTGAAAACAATGATTGCTGTCTCGTGATTCTTTTTGCTACTGATTTAGAAACTCTTTTGTGTTCTTAGCATTTGTAGTCCCAATAAAATAAGAAAATAATATTAAAATAGGTAAACTATAGAAATGCAATTTCCAAAACAGGTTCTCAAGGTGGTTCCCTTTGGTATATGAACTATTCATCTGATAGTCTCACCTAGCTTTACAATGTATACACATATATACATACGTATATGTGGCATATATGCATATACATGCATATATACAGATATATTTGTTCCATATTCATGTATATACATACATAGTATGCATAAATATGCATGCTATATACATGTACAATATAGACCAAAAGATGTATCTATACACATATACATACATATATATGTCCCAGATCATTTATTTTTAATGGCTTCTTTCTCTTAAGAATTTAAATTTTAGATTTGTTTTTCTTTGATCCTAAAAATTATTTCCTGTTACATCTTCTTCACAGTAAATCACCTATTGGAATTTGTAAGTTTGATTGCTTATTTTTCAAACCACTGTCAAAAGATGTGGGCTGCATATCACACATGTGAAATGACTTATACAGGGACTTTAAATAAGAACACACATTCTTTAAATCACATGATTTCAAAAGTCAGATTATTTGAGTTTCACCCCCAATGACAATTTAATAAATTATTCTGTAATGTTTATTTTACATGTAAACAAATAAAAAACAGTGTAATTGTTCATGCACTCATATGTCTAAAGTAAAAAAAAAAAAATATTAAAATGTTTCTTAGAAGATCAAGGTACTGCTGTATGATTTTTTTAATGGATGACTTTTTATCATGTTTTCCAAATTCTATGCTTACCAATTTAGCAACATTTTTTCTTAGTGACCCTTTAGTGAATTAAAGCATAAGCAGGCTACATATAAATGAAATTTGATACAAATACTTTTCTAAGTAAAATTAAAATTTAAAATTTTTTCAAATATTGAATTTTAAAAATATATTATGTATAGATTTCAGAAAATATTTTTGAACCTGCTTTTTAAGTAATGAAAAACCATTTAGGTTGTTTAAAGGGAAATTTTTATTTTATACATTTAATATAATTTATTACAGCATGAGAAAATATATTTCATATTAGTTACTGACCTGCTTCCTTCAAAGTTCTGTGTCCTGTGGTGAAAATAATAGAAATAAAATAATTTAGTGTGTAATGTACCAGTTGACTTTACAAATATTACCGTAGCATTTAATAAGCAAGAATACACTTTCCTTGCATTTATATTGTATCAAGTATTCTCTAAATAAATATTCAATACTTCTCACTTTTAAAATCTATTTTAATATATAAATTAATTAAACAATTCATAGACACAAAATGGTCTTTGATTGATAAATTAGTCCTTCAGGGAAGAAGTAGATGTGACAGTGTCTGGTTTTATCATTTTTGTTCACTCATCTACCTCTAGCACCCACAGCCATGATTGACACAGAGAAGGCACTCAAAAGATATATGTCAAATGAATGATGATTGAATGAATAGCTACTATAAGCATGTGCATTTGTTATTTAATTATTAGGGAAGGAGATATGATAGCTAACGAACTCACATTTTAGAAGGCTTCTGAAGTATGTTTTATAAATAGACCTGAAGAAAAATAAAATATTACAGTATTTTACTAGACCTCTTTATTTTAAAGACCCATTTATGCAGTTATCATATTAACTTCTTTATATATCATTTTTTTCTTTGACACAGTATCTTCAGTTTTTCTGTAAGAAAGAAGCCCTTTTTATTAAACATGGGATGCCTATTTCTGGTTGTTTTGTCTGAAGTGGTATGATTTGGCTAAGATTCCATTAATAAACACCATAGTAAGAGATACCTTTTGACAATAGTAATTTCCTGTGTTTATTTTTATGGAGGGCCAGAACTATCTGATTTTTTAAATTGAGAATGAATTTGTAGCCATTTTAATGTTGGGCGATTATCAATCTTTCTAACAGTAGCATATGTTCATGAACAAACTCTAAGCATGAAACAAAACCTCTTACAAGCAAATGTTTCGGTACTTACCATGAGTTATATATTTATTTCAGAAAAAAATTACGGATAGACTGAACAATCTATAAGTAGCCACAGAATAATATTTGTTGCAAAAGCCCAAAAGTGTAATAACATCAGACTTGTTCATTTCTAGGCTCCTTACGAGCCTACAAAATCACGTTGTGGAGGTGAATGTTTATTAGTTACTGTCACTGATTTTGCAGTCATTATTTGAAAGTCCACAAGACTTACAGGGCAAAATTAAGGAAATATTATTCTATCCCATAGTAAAGCAGATTGAATAAATGGAGTCATCAAACAAAAGAAAAGGTGCAAAACATATTTTATTTTAAAGAAAAAGAGATGTGACATGAACTATGAAAAGAAAACAATTGTATATCCTCTCACTACATCTTGATTCTATACTACAAATTAAGGAAAATATTAGCCAATTATATATATTTACTACATAGGATTTTGGTCACCATCTAGTAACCAAAAATAAATCTATCATGTTTGGATTTGGTGAGTTAGTTAGCATGTAATCAATGATATTAATTTGTGTTTTATTTATTTATGCATGTGACAAATATCTAGGGAATATCTAGGGAGTATCTATTATATACCAACACTGTGTTAAGGTCTGTGATACAAAACCTACTTCTGCTCTCAAGGAATTAAGCCCAGTCGAGTACAGACAAATAAATAGGCAATCATAGTACAAATATAGAGATGAGAGAAAGGTGCTAGGAAACATTTTTAGGAAGTAACCTGTAAAACGAATTCAAGAGGAGACTCCTGGAAAAAAATATTACTTCTAAGGAAGCCACATGTTGAAAGGAAATTCAACAGGCAAATAGATGGGAGCAATAGAATGTTCCAGGCAAAATGAACAGTATGTGCAAAAGTTTCCATAGAGAGTCCAGAGAACATGATGTTTTAGAAGAACTAAATATACTTTTAAATAACGGAATTGATCCATGGAATTTAATAAGGCTAGATGAATAAGTTTCGAGTTCAGTAAGAAATCTTGATAGTTACAAAACTGACAAAGAATAAAATTGAGGAATTAATATGTTCTTGCACCTTGAAGAGTAGAAAGCAACTTTCAACTGGAAGATATATTATAGAGTACAGCCTGTAATAGAGTTAAAATCAATAATTATTAGCATGAAGAAATGCATTTCTCTAAGAGAAGTCTGTTACATGTATTTAAGACATAATCATTCTTCTGTTATCAGAATTGTATGCAGAAGTATTATTTTCCTGAAAATATTCCTTCAGAAAAAAATGTGTATAAAATATTTGGATAAAGTGAACAAACTTACGTCTTCTTAGGTAATTTTTCAGTGAATATGATTTGTAGTACACTGGAGTGCAAACATAGCAGTACAATTTAGAATTATAATCAATATTTACTCCTTCCTAAATCGCTACAATCTAATCTTTCAAAAGCCTATTTTGGAATGACTAGATTTCAATAGGACATTAGAGGCTATCTTCTCTACCTTCTTTGTACTATGTGTGGAAACCCAAAAGCAATGAAAAAAAGGCATTGGAAAGTGTCAAAGTCTATCTTCAATTTTAGTTTTGATGCCTGATTTTCCAGCCAGGCAGCTCAGACACTGAAAGTGGATTATTGGTGCTGCCTGTGTGTGAGGGAAGATGGTATAAAGCGGGGCAGGAGGCACAGGAATATTTGCTCATTGATCAAATAAACTAAAGCACAAATTCCTTGCATGAACAGTATACTACTGCCTTCACTTTTGGTGCTCCCCAATAGGCATTGTTTCCAAAGAAAGTATGATTGGGTAAGAACAATCTGCCATCACTACGAGAAACTGTACGAAAAAGCACAACCCTATGGCAAATTGTACTTAAAATTCTATCTAATTACTTCTGTTGCTGGTAGTTGTCTAGGGTTGACAAATAATTAAAGAGCCAAAATACTCTGAGATAAACAGAAGTATGAACAAGGCTTGTTGGGAACACAGAAGAAGATCACTACCATTATCAATACAAGGTTTGGGGAGAGGGCAGGGAACAGAGGAAGGATGGTTGGCACTAGTAAATAAACTGTTCACACAGTACTAAGTATTTCGTTCTTTTTTTTTTTTTTTTTGTAGTATGTACCAGACTAAATTATAACTCTCTGTGTACTTGTTTGTCTTGCCTTGAAGCCAAAGATCTGGCTTACTCATCTTTGTTTTCTCAGCTCTTAATATAAAGCCTACCACTTAAGAAGCCTTCAATATCTGTTTGTTGAATGAAAGGAATGTTAAAAAAAGTGAAAAGAAAGAGATATACAGGAAGAAAATAAGTAAAGAGAGAGAGAGAGACAGGAAGAAAGGAAATAAAGGGATAAAAAGCAAACCTGACAATACCATCATGTGGGATTAGAAGCATTTTAATTTGAAGTAACAATATAACCTCAAGTGCCTTGTCAGTTGAGAGTATTCAAATATCTCTTCACTTTCCCAGTGTAACTCAATCGGATTTGTAGTGAACTCTGCTTTCAGGAAAGTCTCATTGATTATTTGAAGGACCACAGCTATCCATACAGTCCAGAAGATCTCTAAGCGGAATTAACATAACCTTAACATATGGATATATGGGGTTGTGTGTATGTTGTGTATGTGTGTGTGTACATATATATATATATGTATATAAAACAGATGCAAATAATTATTCAATGTTTGCTCGTTGCTCTGCTTATGAATCTTATGTCCATATGTATAGAGCGTAGTTTCATTCCATTAAATGATACGTGTGCATTTTTTCCTGATGTGGGGGAGAGAAGGAGAGGAGAGAAGAGGAGCTCTATTGTGGTTATTTGGTGTTTGGCTTCTCAATATCCAATTCTCCCCCTTCTGGAAACATCTTCCCATATGTGCGGTGTGAAATCACCCTTTTACATTAATTATTACATTTAGGAAAAATTTTTTCCATCATTGATTGTGTTGGCTTAAGCCTATGCGGACTGTCCATTGCACAAGTAACAATGTTTGGTCCAAGAATACGGGCAAATACTACATTCAGAACAAGAAGATCAAAGAAGAAAGATCTCCTGTGGCTTCTGAAAAAAGAAAACTTTTCACTGTTTGCAATGTGTAGGATGAGTTTCAGAGAGCTGGGACTACTACAGCCAATTGGTTACATGAAAGGAGGCGCTTGATGATGAAATGGACACCCAGAGGAAAGGCCCTGAGACATGGATCTCAGTGGACCCAGTTTGAGCCTTCACAGCAAACTAAAGCCAGACTACTCATGTTCATTTTAGGTTCTATCGAGCAACAAATCCTCCTTTAGTTACCAAGCCAGTTTGAGTTAGAATTTCTGCATAATTAACCAAGCAAAAGAACCCTTAATGATGCAAGTGGCTGGAACTGGGAATCAAAATATCACAACAAATAGTTGAGTCAAATGGTTTGCCATTAACCAATGCACGTCGTGGAGCAAATCACCTCTATAGTAGAGAAAAGCTGTCTCCTAAAAAGGAAAGTCTTTCCTTCCTACTTCAAAAATGTATTCCGATGCCTCAGTAGAAGAAGATGTACAAAACAAAATAGCTTTTTAAGTAGTAAATTACTGAACAACTTTATAAGAGGTATTATTGAAATCTCAGGGTGTGAGTAGAAATAGGCATCATTTTTTCCCTCTTACTACTAAAAAAACGGAGGCACAAAAAATTAGATTGTAGAAACTTAAATTAATGTTAAGCCCTAATACCATAAAAACCCTAGAGGAAAACTCAGGTAGTACCCATTCAGGACATAGCATGGGCAAAGACTTCAGTGTCTAAAACACCAAAAAGCCAACAGCAGCAAAGCCAAACATTGACAAATGGGACCTCATTAAACTAAGAGCTTCTGCACAGCAAAAGAACTACCATCAGAGTGAACAGGAAAGCCTACAGAAAGGGAAGAAAATTTTTGGCAATCTTACTCATCTGACAAAGGGCTAATATCCAGAACCTACAAAGAACTCAAACAAATTTACAAGAAAACAACAAAACAACCCATCAAAAAGTGGGCAAAGGATATGAAAGACATTTCTCAAAAGAAGACATTCAATACAACCCAACAGCCCATGAACAAATGCTCATCCTGCGACATCGGCCATAGAGAAATGCCAATATAACCCCACATGAATACCCATACTCACATCAGTTACGAATGCGATCCATTAAAAAGTCAAGGAAACAACAGGGTGCTGGAAAGGATGTGGAAAATACGGCAACCTTTTACCACTGGTTGGTGGGATTGTAAACTAGTTTCAACCCATCTACGGAAAAACAGTATGCGCGATCCTCAAGGATCTAGAACGTTAGATGTCTCTGTAATGACCCAGGCCATCCCATTCTGGGTATATGACCCACAAAGGATATAAATCAGCATGCGTGTCATATACAAGACACATGCACCTACGTATTGTTTTATTGCGCACTATTCACAATCAGCAAATGACTTGAATCAACCCAAATGTCCATCAGTGAGAAGACTGATCAAAGCAAAATACTCCGGCCATATATCGCCATGGAATACTCTCAGCCATAAAGAAAGGGTGAGTTTTCGTGTCCTTATGTAGGGACAGTGGATGCCAGCTGGAAACCCATCATTCTTGGCAGACGGGGACTAATGGCACAAGAAGCCGAGGAAAACGCGAACAGTCCGCATGCTTTCTCCACTCGATGGAAGGGGAAGCGAACAATGAGATCACTTGGACTCGAACGGCGGGAAGGCATCACGACTGGGGCCTATCATCACCGGGGAGGCGGCGGGGAGGGGGAGGGATTGCAGTGGGAGTTATACCTGATTAGAATGACGAGTTGATGAGTGCACTGACGAGTTTGATGGGTGGCAGCACGGCACATGGCACAAGTATCCACATATGTGAGAGCAACAGCCTGCACGTTATGCACATGTACCCTAGAACTTCAAAGTATAGAGGAGTATAAATTAATAATAATGAAGATATTTAAATTGTAACTATCCAATATCGTCAGCCCTCGGTCCATGCTGGCTTATTTTATTTTAATTTTTATTATACGTCAGCGGAATAGGTTCTCACTTGCTAGTGAAGTGTGGAATAATATTGAAAATTATGTTTTATTAGTGACAGTAATTTCTGATTAGTTTTTGTACACACTTTCCCTCTTAATACTCTTGTGGCCAGGGTTACACTTACAGATTGTGATTGCACAGACACGGCCGTCTGTTTCAATGTTGTCATATCTTCAGTCACAGACAGACATGATTCCAAGCAGCCGCATTTCCTTTTTACAAGGAGTAATTCACATTTAGGCTGTTTGAATTACTCTTGGGGTTAGCACATCAAGAAGGCATTATCCCAAGATTAAACACTGGTAGCTGCTTGCAAAACGCTTGCAAATACAGAATATTTGCTAGATGGCTGAACAGATGCAATTGTGGTATGCTAGAGATTTAGGGAACTCTTAGGAGTGGAACATATTAAGAGAGGATACTTTTTTTCTGCCGTCTGCTAGTCTTTGCTCAGAGATAAGTTTATTTATTTCAAATGGCATCCTTCTAGAATCTTTATTTTACTGTGAACTAAAATGTTGCCCCTAATTTTTTTTACCTATGTCTAGTGTCCTTGTTCAATCCACTTGCCTACCTTTCATTCCTGGCACTGAGGAGATATTTATGTTGATGGGTCTTGGAGGCCCTTATGAATAATGCAAAACAAAGGTAGAACTCAGCCTGTGGAACGCAGGGACAAGTGGTCCATCCTTAAATAACTCATGTAAAGACTATAATTGTACTTATGGGGGACTGGTGTTGAGGCAGGGCTGATGCCACAGCAGCTCATTCCTAAAATCAAGTGACAGAAGCAAGAGGAAATCATGACCCCTAAAACCAAAGTCTCACTGACAGTAGTGCATGTGCTCTTCAAAAATAAAGATGAGATTGTATGTATTCTTGTCTTTCAGAGCAAGCAAACTGCCTTTTTAAAATTGTCTAAATGAACACATTGGTGTGTTGATCAGATGAGAGCTCAGTTAGAAATCCAAGACCCTGGGGGCCGGTCGCAGTGACTCATGTCTGTAATCCCAGCACTTTGGGAGGCCAAGGTGGGAGGATCATGAGGTCAGGAGATCGAGACCATCCTGGCTAACACGGTGGAACCCCGTTTCTACTAAAAAATACAAAAAAAAAAAAATTAGCTAGGCATGGTGGCGGGGGCCTGTCATCCCAGCTTCTTGGGAGGCTGAGGCAGAAGAATGGTGTGAACCCGGGAGGCAGAGCTTGCAGTGAGCCCAGCCAAGATCGCACCACTGCACTCCAGCCTGGGCGATAGAGTGAGACTCTGTAAAAAAAAAAAAAAAAAAAGGAAAGAAAGAAAGAAATCCAAGACCCTGGGATCCAATACTTGGTTAGCCTATCCTGAGACAAGATGTAAGAAAGAGTAACTTGAATCATGTTTTGCTGAGACTATTTATTGTAAAGTTTAGCAGAGCTTAGAACACAAAGAAGATTAAGGCTATAAAGTAGACTGCCAATGGACTCTTCTGTGAGGGACCAGGGGAAGGTAGGGAAAATGAAGATGGAGCCTGAATCTGTGCTCCAGGAAGCCTTTCCTGAATGTTCTCTTCGAAAGCACACTACCCCTCTACATTTTATTTGTAGCATTTTATAACGCTTAGCAGATTATTCCTGTGTTTCTAATGCTCAGGATTTATTGTTCCGGGTAGATTATAATCTCCTTGAAAATAAGATTCTTGTTGAGTCCATCTGTTACATTCGTATTACCTGAACATTGTGCCTTCTATGTAGAAAGTTTCCAACAAATGTTTGGCAAATGGAATTGCGCCCAAGATGGTTAACTTGCTTGCTTTTTATGGCAATGGTGTATATAACAGAATCACCTTGAGAGGTTTAAAGAAATATGCAGACCCAGTTTATTCGCCAGAGACTGATGTGCTCAGTCAGTTTTAGAGCTTAGGATGTGATTTTAATAACCCTCCCTTCACCAGATGATTTTGATATACATCCCTGGTTATAATCACAATGGAATGAGTAGAAAAGAAAATAGTGTTGATTCCCAATACATGTGTCCCTAGGATAAATTTCAATTAGACCACATTTTCTTTAGCATCCTGCCTTCTCAATCAGTATGCCTCTCCCCTTTATAAGCACCCCATACTCAATGTACTTTCCCATAGGATCTATTTCATTTAATTAGCTGTCTGCCAGACTGGAAAGTAATCCCTGATCAGCTGTTAGCTAGTGCTTCCTATGGTGTTACATCCTGTAAAGCAATTTCAATTTGATAGGGAAATGTGAGGACCAAAGTCTTTAGGGCTTAAGATATCTAATAGGGGTTTCAAGTACCAATGTGGGAGCTATTTCAGGGCAGGTAGGTCTTTAAAATATTCCTTAAAAATCACAACAGAACTGGCTCCCTACTCAGGTGATTGGTCCTATTTTCCCAAATATCAGACTCTAGTTACACCTGACATGGTAAAGTTTCTAGTGGTTCTCTTTCTATTGAATTATGAAGCCCTGATATTAGAAAATATTTATATGTAGATTTTTCTTCTTTATATTTTATTTAAAAGCCTATAAGACTTGTTTATTTTTTCTTCTCAAATATACAGATAAATATAGATGTAGATACGGATATAGGTGTGAATATATAGATGATATTGACATAGTTATATATGTAAAGAAAAGTCATCCTTCCAGAATCTCAGTGAAATCATGACTTCTGTAAAAGTTTGGTGATGACAGGTTTATTAATCTGGGCTGTCTCTATTTAGGAATTAGGTCAAGGTTTACTTCTTGGGAGTTATTTTCTACTTTCCCCATCACCATGTTAAGTGGGGCAAGAAGGGGGCAGAATTGCCACCAGAGGAGAAGAACTGCACCAGAAGGTTGCAAATACTTCCTATTTTCGATTCTGGGTTGATTAGCATTGCTCCTTAAACTTCTTCAGTCAAGCCCAATTTCAACTTAAGGCCAGTAAAAGTAAAAATAAACTATTTTACTTAAAAAACACCCTGGTACGTGAATGTCATGGTATATTTTCTAGAAGAGTAAAGGTTGAAGAAGTCATATTTCTTATTAAAGAAACTTAGCCAGTTATTTGTACTTCAAAAGAAAAAAATGTCTTAAAGTGAAACAAACACACACAGAGAAACAAGAGCAAAAATTATTGAACCTAAAAGGCTGCTATGGTTTGAATACATCCCCATCAAAATTCAGTATTAAAAGATGGGGCCTTTAAGAGGTAACTAGGCCATGAAGGCTCTTCCCTTGTGAATGGAATTAAGGCTATAGTAAAGAAGGTTTAATGTAGGGTTCACCTAGCTTGTCCTTCTGACTTCTGCCATGTGGGAACACATAAAGAAGGCCCTCACAAGATGCTGGTGACTTGGCGTTGGAATTTCCACCCTCTAGAACCATAAGAAAATAGATTTCTGTTCTGTATGCATTACCCAAACTTAGGTATTCTGTTAGAGCAGCACAGATGGATTAAGACAAAGACAAACAAAAAAGACTTCCAGTTGAATAAATGATGTTGTATGTCAGACACCCTTACACATATTATTATATTTAGTTCTAATATTAATCCTGTGGAGAAAAACTATTATTATCTAGATTTTCTTTCTCCGATTAACTATTGTGATGAAAATCGCATTTAGCAGGATTCAACGTTCATTAAAACACACACACACACACACACACACACACACTTTCAGTGGAAGAATGTTACTTTCATAATGGGATGAAAACAGCAATATTTTTCCCTACAGTAGTTGGCTGAATTATGATATAGTCTCAATAAGTGCAAAGTATCAGTCTTAGCAGATAGTAGAACATGCGTATGTGATTTATGATACATTTTTTTGACTGTTTAATTGATACTCATTTATAATTTGAAACATATTTATGAAACAGATATTATAATACCTGTATTAGACGCTGGGGGATTGAATACAGGAATAATTTCTTCTTTTGGTAAAATTTAGTCTAATGGGGATACAGAGAAGTAAACAGACAATTATAATACAGAGCACAAGGGCCACAGTGGGAAATCAGAACTTGACAGAGGAGAAGCACCTATCCTTCCTGGGGGGATTCAGAGGCATGCAAAGCTAACTCATAATGTGGATGAACAAAGGAGTCAGTGGTCCAGTTGCTGTAATTACTAAGGTTTGTGAGGAAACACAAAATGAAAATTGTGAACAGAATTTCCACAAGTTAAGAATTGATTTTATATTTCTTAAGGAGTTAAATTCTACACTTAACAGATAGGTGAAAGTCCTAATTAGAAGCAGCATCTTTTAATGACTTACTTTGAATCGGGATTTATGACCTGATTAAAAATTCACTTTTGTCTCTAAAAATCATGTCTAGATAAATATCTTAAACCATGATAAATATTGAGCTGTTAAGAAAGAATTACTAAATTAGATAGCAGATATGACAGCAAAGACTACAAAGCCATGGAGTTGGGAGCACCATGGTAGGATGTCACAAATATGGCAGAGGCCACACACTTAAAAAGCAAATGCAAACAGGAAAAATCACTCCCCCTGGGGCCAAGATTAAAGGATAGAAATGGAAAGTATCTGTGCCAAAAACTGATTTTTAAAATGGAAAATATTGAAGAGAAAATATTTTCTTATAAGACTGGTTATATTTTCTGAATGTGGAAATAGAGATTCCTGTATGTGTGTGACTATAGACTTTGATTTGCAAATTTCCTTCTGAAACGTATCAAGGTTAAGAAGACAGGTTATTGGTTTGAATCAAAGACACAAATGATTAGACATTTGTGATTTGTTTCCTCTGTTGCCAGGTTATTTGGTAATCACTATTTCTTCAAAAGCTACATTCAGATCAAAGAGAAAAAGTTCAAACATGATCTGAGCAAGACTGTTGACAGACAGTTGGAAATATTGATATAGCCCTGAGACTGGTAGGTGGGGCTCCTTGAAGTCTTTCAAATGTATATATATAATATTATATATAATAAAATATATAATCTAATATATAATCTAATATAATAATATATGACATATTATTATATATAATATATTATATATAATTATATATACACATATATTATATATACATATATTATATATGATATGTCATATGTTATATATTATAATATATTATTATCTATATTATGTTATATATTATATTATATATTATGTTATATATTATAATATATTATTATATATGATATTGTGTTATATGTTATAATATATATAATATATATATTATATATTATAAAATATATATCATATTATATATTATATGTAATATAATATTATATTATGCATGCATACTATTTACCACAGCTTTTTCTGCCAAGATTTATCATACCTTCAACTGCCAAAACAAACAAAAAACCCATAAAAGTATAGACCAACAATAAGCCCCAAATCAAACCTAACAAAACATGCGCTCAAAACTAGATGTTCTTTTTTTCAAAGTTAAAGCTTTACTCCCCAGAGTATTTGTCAATCTGGAATCAGCAACTCTCAAAATTTTAATGCAGTAATATTACATCTCATACAAATAAAAATATTTCAGGGCACATTCTGAAAATAATATAAAGGTAAATTTACTTGGTTTATATAACTTTGGTTTTCTTCTAATCAAATATTATTTCACTTGTCCCTTTTTCAAATTGTTTTCAAATGAGCACATGGAAGATCAGCATATATGTGTGAATTCATCTGACCTGATGAATACCAGAAAGCAAACGGGCAGATACCAATTCTTCGTAAGTAGGATTACAAAGTAAATCCTACCAAGGATTTAATTATAAGCGAGTTCGATAGTCTCATCCTAAGGAATAAATTCTTCCTTTACAATTAGAAATTATCTATTTAAAAGATTGGCTTTATTGACCAACTTTACAGTAGTTAACTTTGTAGCATATGCATCAGTAGCCTCCTGAAAGAGAATTAAATTCTCCCTGGGCACTGGGCAGTATATTTCCCCAGTTATTTCTCACTATAATGGAAAGACATATTTTTTGTGGTCATATTTTTTTAAGATACAAGATTACTCTATTCCAATATTTTCTTGTTATTTGAAAATTTAAAGCAGGAAAAGAAATGTTTTCTACTTCAGTTCTTTATATAAAATGAAAGTACTCTCTCATCACACTAAAGGAACATATTTAAGCT